AAACACGAAAATTACTATTTTATTCCTCCGAACCGCTATATGTGCTAAAAGGTTATTCCAAGTTTTTCGAATCTCCTAGGTTCAATGATAATATTATTTTGACCTAAAAAAATTTATATTTTTACTTAGTTACCCTTATCAACCTTAAACACCTCCAAAAATTCAATTTCACCATTAATTTGCCTCCCAAGTATTTATTCATACTATTGAAATCTATAGGGTTCATGCATACCTCATCACTTATATTAGCATTTCAAAAATAATTACTTGCTATATAAAGATAAGAGTGTGGGGGTTTACAATCCACCCCCCTTAAAGAAAGTTTCGTTCTCGAAACTTACCTTAAGTAGAGAACAGATGAGGGTACTTCTCTCGCATCTCCAACTCTGGTTCCCAAGTAGCTTCCTCCACTCCATGGTGTTGCTACAAAACCTTCACTTGTCTGATGACTTTGTTGCGGAGCACCTTCTCTTTGGTATCAAGAATCTTCACCGGTTGTTCTTCATAAGTGGTTTCATCTTGAACTTCAATATCCTCCAAATCTATAACATGCGTGGTCTCCGACTGACACTTCCTCAACATCGACACATGAAACACGTCGTGTACTCCGGATAACTGAGCTGGTAATCGAAGTTGGTACGCCGCTTTGCCCACCGCTTTGATCACTTCAAATGGTACTATGTACCTTAGAGCTAACTTTCCCTTCTTGCCAAATTGCGGCACTCCCTTCTTGGGTAATACTTTAAGAAACACGTAATCTCCCACCTTGAATTCCAAGGGTCTTCGTTTTTGATCCGCATAACTTTTCTGTTGACTTTGTGCCGTGCATAATTTCTCCCGGATGAATTGAACTTTCTCTGTAGTTTCTCGAACAATTTTCGGCCCAAACAAGCTNTTTTTTTTTTATTTTTTTTATTTTTTATTTGTATAAGTTCAATCTAACTTCTAACGGAGCACATTGCAGAGATGTATATACAAAATCAGGCTTTAACTTCGTGAAGCAAGATGCATTTGAAAGACAGCAATTAATCATTTCTGAGGCAAACCTGTGATCATTTTCACACTAACTCCACGATCTAGGGCTCTTTGGATAGTCTCAGCACTGTCATGGCGAGGCGGATCAAACAGAGGGAGAATGCCAACAAATTCCCAGGGTCCACCAGGACTCTCTTTGGTACATGTGTCAAATATGGCATGATGTTGGGCTAATTATCTACCTCTGGTCTAGCAAAGGATGTAGGAGTATTTTCCTAGTTTACTAGACGTTCATTAGCATACATTCTTCATCTGCCTCTTAATTACCTGACCATACCAGCACTAGAGAAGTACCCAATTTCTCCAAGAACAGATGCCTAAAAACTTCATTGTACGGCAAGGTAAAAGAAATGGGGATTCGGGCACCTTGATTGTGGTTGTGTTGGGGATTAGATAATTTTGCAATTAGCCGTTCACAGCTAACATGCATACCACAATCAATGTGTTATATTNTTGTGTTGGGGATTAGATAATTTTGCAATTAGCCGTTCACAGCTAACATGCATACCACAATCAATGTGTTATATTGTTATAGCAAAGTGGTCAAAATTCAAAGTTACACATATTTCTATCTGTACCTGCTCTGGTGCACCTTGCTTACTCTGTGCATGTTGCCTGCTCCATCTACATATGTAAGCGTTGTCCGCTTAGCAGTAAGATTGAATGGAAGGAAGTGAACCTCTCTAATTCCAGCTCGTGCTTCATAAAACATAACACACAATCAATATAAGGCAATCTTGTTTGCTTAATGATTATTTGTGAACTTTACAGCTTTTAGGAAAAAGAATTTGATTTTCATGAGCTGCTGAAGTTGTTTAAATAGAACCAAGGATATGTGGTTATCAACAGATGTAAACATATTAAGCCTGAAGAGGTTTATACGATTTTATTACCAATTCATGCTCTTCTCAAGGTTAGGCACTGACAACATCAACAATTCAGCCAAAAACCTAAATTCAGTTTTTACCCTATTCTTGAGTTCTTGTGAAGCAGATGAACAATGAAGACAAGCCGTGAAAACGTCCTGATTATTAAGAACCAATACCTCTGTAGGATCAGCCAGCATTGAAACAATTGCAGCATCAATAGCGTCCTGATTCTCCAACCTTGAGGCTCTTGCAGCCATCAGCAGAACTGCATCTTTGTCAACACCATGTGCAAATACCTGTAGCAACGTTGTTACATAAAGAATTTGTTGGTGGATAAGCTTTGATATTGTAACTAATTTTTGACATGTCCATTGCCATTAAGCGTAGACTTGATCGTTTGCATTAAATGGACCATGCAAAAATTAAACATTTCGATTTTGATTATGCTGAGATTCAAAATTTGCAGGATCCGTTATCCGTTACTTATTTTAGATACATAACTTTTTGATTATTTTGATTTAAGTGATGATGCGTCTGACACTTTTATTCCATCAAGTTTATGTGTACTGAACAACCATCTACGTTGTTTTCTACATCAATCAAAATATTGATAGACTGTACTTCTTACAGTTTCATGAATAAATTTGTTTTATTTTAATGTATAAATATTTTTTTTCCATATTTTAAAGTTCAACACACTTTTGTAGGTCAACTATAACTGTTCGATGAACTTATAACATAAAATTGGAATACATAATTTTTTAACATATACAAAAAAAAAATAAAAAAAAATGTTTGTAAAAAAAGATTGATTATGGGAAATAAAGTTTTAGGCCCGATTGAGATTGGGGAAAAACTCCTTTAGATTGGGATGCTTTTATGACGTGAGAAGTGAGATTATAATATTGAGATTTTTAACATATACAAAACATACTTTTTGATAAAGAAGTGTGCTTTCAAAACACACTTTTAAGTTTTTTTTTGTTAAATATAAATATGAAATTAAATTATGCTTTTATAAATTTTATTTTCGATTATAAAATAAATTCAAAATTTTTATGAAAAGGGAATTAAATTCTAAAATTTATTTAATTTTTTTTTTGTCTGGTGAATCATCATGTGAGACATAAGGTATAGTTATTTAGCTTTTATGAAATTTATTATAAGTTGGTGGTTGGAGACTTTTGGCTAAGAAAACGTCAATATAAAAGGCTAAGGGGTAGAAAACGCTAAGGGGTAGAAAACGTGATTAAACAAAAAGGATAAAATGTCATTGTAAATGACGTCTTTAAAAATGTCATTTATAATGACGTTTTAACCCCTTTATTTTTTTAAATTTTTGTTAGGCTCCGTTAAAAATTCTTGTTACAAAACGTCATATTAAATGATGACTTTAAAAATGTCATTCGTAATGACGTTGTAGGGGAAAAAAATTCATGTTTAAATTGTTATTCCAAATAACGTTTTTAGGGGTGAAGGCGTCATTTCAAATGACGTTTTTAAAAAAGGGTTAATTATAAATTGCACCCTGAAAGATCGTTAAAATTTTAATTTGTACCCTCAAAAATAAAAAATTTTATTTTGTACCCTCAAAGATAGAAATTTGTACCAATTTACATCCTTAAAGATCAAAAATCTCAATTTGCACACTCAAAGATAGAAATTTGTATCAATGTGTACCCTCAAAGATCAAAAATTTTAATTTGTACCCTCAAAGATAGAAATTTGTATCAATATGCACCTAAAACTAAATTGATAAATTATACCTAGATCCCCTTATACTTGTCACTTAATCATTTGGACCCCTTCACATTTAGAATATTATTTCTACATCTCATGACATTTGTGCGCGTGTAACACGTAACCCCTTTCGTTGATATCTGTTAATATAACCGTTAAAAAATATGATTTTATCTTAATAAAAAAATTATAATTTCATATTACCTTTTATTTTATGGGTCCAATATCTTCTAAAGTTCAAAATCAAAGTTACTATTTAAATGTCTAATAGAATAAAGAGTTGCACATTGAGTGATATATTGCATTGGATATAAAAATATTATATAAATATTTACATTTTATTGTACATTCAAATAGTAAACTTGATTTTGAACTTTAGAGTATATCGGACCCACAAAATAAAGGGTAATATAAAATTATAATTTTTTATTAGGATAAAATCATATTTTTTAATGGTTATATTAACAGATATCAATAAAAAGGGGTTACGTGTTATACGTGCACAAACGTCATGAGATGTAGGAGTAATATTCTTGTAACGCCCCAAAATCGGGAGTCCTTAATTTAATAAAATTTAGGCAGAGTTTTCTTTGTACGGGGAGCTCTACCCAAAACATAACATGTGCAATTATACTACATTGACCACACCGGGTCCATTTACCCATCAAATAATAAAATTTCATTCACCATATGTAATATCCACAATATCATCCCAAAAGAATAGGTCAAGCTATGACAATTACATTCCAAAAGAATTACACTCAAACTTAGCAGCGGAACAAATAAAATATTAGGCTGTACATGATCGTAAATAAATTCCCTAGTCTAGCACAAAAATAAACTATAGCTCTAGATGTCCATCTCGGAATCTCACTTCTCCTCTGGTGGAACCTCCCAATTTCTCGGTTCGTCAACTCCGGGATCTTCCTCTAGCACGAAGTCTGAAAAAAAATATTTATTGGTAGGGGGTGAGCACTAAGCTTTGTAGGAAAATCTTTCCAAACTCTAACAAGGTTTGAAAAACGTAAAAAAAACGGTCGATCTCATTTCACAAATAGCACACGTAAATTTTGAAAGAAAATATGATATTTTTAAAAGATCGCAAGTTTATACATTAATAATAATTAAGTATAAGAGTAAAGTCAATTCCACCATAAATAACCATTCCAAAGTGTAATCATTCCCACAATAATTTTCAAGATAATCATATCCAAAAGATAACACAATAAACAATAACCACAATATATGTCAAGTCTGATATAAGATAATCGCATGAATAAATAAATAGAGAATATCCTAGCCCACACACATACAATTTCTCGCAAGGATATCAACTTCGGGAAGGGCACCTACCGATGCATTGTCCCATACCAATGTACCAGCAATAACGAATCTGACCCATGGATAGTATACTAATCCTTTGACACGGCACCTGTGAGCTAATAGTGGTTTGGTCCTCGCAAGGCACCAACCCTACTACGAGTGGTAGAAAAAGTTCAAACCCACACGGAGTAAGAACCACACGCATCTACCCACTCTACGATACCCGGTCAATGGTCATCCATTGTCATCCAAACACCTCCATGAGATACAATCACCAACAATTTCTCAAATACACTTAATTCCATAAATTCCCAATTTTTCACATCCAAATCCACATTTATTTCACAATGGAATAATTTAAGAAAAATTAACAAGAGATCATCATAAATACCATTGAGTTGTTCAATACGAAACACTAAAGTTTTAAAATCAAGAATAAATGAAAAATCAAGAAAAAAACCCAGTTCTCTTGAAATTTAGGGTTTTGAATATGAGAAAAGAACTTTGATGGTTACTCAACCATCTCATTGTTTAAAACATGCTAACATTTGAAAAAACATTAAGAATCCATGATTTCATAGCATATTAATATGATGTAGATTCAAAGAAAACATATATGTATAACCCTAGTATCAATGTAAGAGAATGGAAGAAAACCCCTACTTGAATCAAAATTTCAAGTAAGAACCCAAACTCTAGTGACCTCCTTATTCCATTTTCTTCCTTCCTTAATCTTCCTCTAAGGTTCCAAGAGGTGTGGGGTGAGAGTGGAGTGAAAAGAATGGGAGTAAATGGGATGAAAATGGGTTTTTAAATACAACAGCCCCGCTTTTTACTGTTCACATGCTGATTTGATTCTCTCCAAAATTACGGTTTTATCATTAAGAATCTCCAATTTGATCCATATGACTATCCTAAGGTTTTTCAACGTTCCGGATTCATTTTTAATGTTATTTTAACCTAAAAACATTTATTTTTATGAGTTATCTCAAAACTAAAATAAATTTATACTCAAAACACGAAAATTACTATTTTATTCCTCCGAACCGTTATATGTGCTAAAAGGTTATTCCAAGTTTTTCGAATCTCCCAGGTTCAATGATAATATTATTTTGACCTAAAAAAATTTATATTTTTACTTAGTTACCCTTATCAACCTTAAACACCGCCAAAAATTAAATTTCACATTTAATTTGCCTCCCTAGTATTTATTCATACTATTGAAATCTATAGGGTTCATGCATACCTCATCACTTATATTAGCATTTCAAAAATAATTACTTGCTATATAAAGATAAGAGTGTGGGGGTTTACAATCCACCCCCCTTAAAGAAAGTTTCGTTCTCGAAACTTACCTTAAGTAGAGAACAGATGAGGGTACTTCTCTCGCATCTCCAACTCTGGTTCCCAAGTAGCTTCCTCCACTCCATGGTGTTGCTACAAAACCTTCACTTGTCTGATGACTTTGTTGCGGAGCACCTTCTCTTTGGTATCAAGAATCTTCACCGGTTGTTCTTCATAAGTGGTTTCATCTTGAACTTCAATATCCTCCAAATCTATAACATGCGTGGTCTCCGACTGACACTTCCTCAACATCGACACATGAAACACGTCGTGTACTCCGGATAACTGAGCTGGTAATCGAAGTTGGTACGCCGCTTTGCCCACCGCTTTGATCACTTCAAATGGTACTATGTACCTTAGAGCTAACTTTCCCTTCTTGCCAAATTGCGGCACTCCCTTCTTGGGTAATACTTTAAGAAACACGTAATCTCCCACCTTGAATTCCAAGGGTCTTCGTTTTTTATCCGCATAACTTTTCTGTTGACTTTGTGCCGTGCATAATTTCTCCCGGATGAATTGAACTTTCTCTGTAGTTTCTCGAACAATTTTCGGCCCAAACAAGCTATTCTCGCCAGCTTCCAATCAACAAGTTGGGGACCTACATGGTCTTCCATACAACGCCTCATATGGTGCCATCCCAATACTTGCCCGATAGTTGTTGTTGTATGCAAATTCCACCAACAGCAAATGAACGCTCCAACCTCCCTTGAAGTCCAACACACAAGCACGTAACATGTCTTCTAGAATCTGGATCACCCTCTCGAATTGGCCATCCGTTTGGGGATGAAAGGCTATGTTGAAATGCAACTCTATCCCCATAGCACTTTGAAGANCCCTTGAAGTCCAACAC